TAATGATCCTTTTAAGAATCAGATTAACTTTGTTTCAAATTCCTGCTCATGAGCAAAGGAGTTGAGAGCTATCTTCCTTAATTAAAGGACTGCCAGCAATCAAACTCTACGCATGTAAACATAAGTGGCTTCATATAAACATAACCGGAAAGTTAATAACAAACGTGCAAGAAGGTTGTGGTTTACATTTTCCTGTGATTAACTCAATCAGTGAAGAGTTAGAGAAAACTAATTGAAAAACCGAAAGGAGCATTCTGGTGCAAGTGAAATTTGGTGTTTTGTCTGTGTGGCAGCGCTGTTTGCTTTTTTTTTCCTAAAAGAAAGCACCAGAAGACCAAAAAAAAACACCAACAACTCATGTTTCAAGTGTGGGAGACATCCTTCAGAGCTGTAACTAGTGGAGAAGCCACTCCGAACACCTACTACGTAACCAAATTCAGTAAGGAATATTTTTTCATGCCTTCTTGCACACAGGTAAGTCTAGAAATGCATTTCCATGGCGAGTTCCTGTCTCAGATGAACAAAAATTATTTCTTCACGCTTCAAAAACGATATCCTGATGTGCCACTATAAGCTGTCCTGACTACCAATCTTAATACTACAGGAAAACACCTCCATCCTGCTCCTCTAACACCTTGGATCAAAAACATCTTTAAGAATAACAAGAACATAACAATTTAAAGTTACTGCAAAGGGTATAGTATCTACCTTTTATAACAGAAAAAGGAAATAGAAGATGAAATTCAGAAATATAGATTATATGTTTAAGGTTTGAATGGCACAAATATCCCATCATGCTCTCCAAAGATACTAATTTTTCTTTTTCATCCTCCAGTGCTCCAAATCTAATCCCAAGTATAAGAGATAAGTGTAACATGGTACACACCATTATTAATTTTTTTTAATTGTGAATATAATGATGAGTGTCTGGTCCCTGTGGATGGGACCCGCCCAACTGGGCACGAGTAGCCTGTTCTCTGCTCACAGGAATTTAAAGGCTTGCACATTGCAGAGAATTCCATGACAGCTGCTGTTCTCTACCTCAGTTCAGCATTTTTGTCTCCCACTCCCATCTACCAGGCAGAGAAGAGAAAAAGTACGCTGACACATTGCTTATTGCTGTTCAAAACCTTACGACCTTCATCCCAGCTCTCCGCCCTGCCGCACGCTACGGAGCTGTAACACAAACCAGTCCTTCCTCCCTATTGTCCTGGCTCCAGACCCATCCGCAGACTCGATCCACACTGCGTGAAACCAGTTGTGGTGGCAATGCCTGATCTTTTGGTTCTAGGTGTGGTCTACCCTCCTTCTCCTCCTTCGTGAGACTCGATGCAGAGACACGCACAGGAGCTATCCCCAGATAGCACAGACTGTCACGCCATAAAATCCCTTTTCCTCCGATTGCCACGGAGGAAGGCAGGAAACAAGACCGCTTCCTGCGTAAGGTCCAAATAGTGCAACTCTTTTCCTATGATTCTGCATGTGCTCCCAAATCACCTCTTACAACTCCTTTTTGCCTTTGCACTTCTCTTCCCTTGCACCTTTGCAGCAACATTCCAGCAACGTATTTGTGACATGTTTTACATGGAAGGAACTGCCCCAGCTAAAGCCAACTACACCAGTGTGCTGCACTGCTGTACCTTGAAGGATATTTCCGTCGTCATGGTGAATCCATGGGTGATGACTGGCTCCTCCTCAGCTGTTCGCCCTTTCCAGCAGTCCAGCTCCACACAGCGGCAGCCCGACAAAAGCACTTGCCGATACATCTCCACCGACGAGTTACCGGCCAGCTGTCCAGCTGCGACAACACAAGGACATGAAAAAGAGAAGTCATTTTGGGCCTCGGGAATAAATACAAATAATCTAATAATAATCAGAGTTAACAGCATCTTTTACCCTCGGCTGAGAGGAATAACACTCAAAGGCACGTAAAAAGCCCACGAAACGTGATGGAAATGACTTAGGCAGAGTCAATGTCATGGTTTAGATCCTGCCCTCAGTTAAACTGCTGTGAATGAGAAGAAATAACTGAACTGAAGCCAGTTCAAAACTTTTGACAGATAGCATTGAATACATAAAATAAAATAAGATAAAAAATAAAATAAAATACAAGAAAATACAAGAAAATACTATACAATACAATACAATACAATACAATACAATAAAATAAAATAAAATAAAATAAAATAAAATAAAATAAAATAAAATAAAATAAAATAAAATAAAATGGCTTAGTTCTAAAAGACACTGTTATCTTTTGACAAGCAATGTGAAATTCAGAGGTGACTCAGGACAGCAGGATCATATTTTCTTATAACACACAATGCAGTTTCATACAAGGTGAAACAAACCTCCTGCCTAGTTACTAATGGTAGCACTACTAGGTCTCAAATCAATATTTAATTCACTAATCACCACACTGAGTTGGTCAGTTAAATTTCCTGATGTGATACTGCATTATGTAGGGAGAAATTTAATTAAACTACCAGTTTCCAACAATGACATAATTTAAATCTAAAAATAAACACGGAAATCTCAGCTTTTCTAAACTCAGGATATATTAAGAAAAAAAACCACACAAAAAACAAACAAACAAACAAAACCAAAACCAAATGAACAAAGAAGTCCAGTTGTATTCAGGGAAGGATATCCAGCCAGGGTTTCTTCACCTACTGCAACAGGTTTAATTCCAGTCATATGGATACAAATTTCTTGCAGCACAGAGGTAAAGATAATGGAGGAATCTGCTTGTTTTAGATGTGCAGAAAACGGATGCAGTTTCCTGCTTTCTAGCAGGCTTCCTGAGAAGACCTTCCTGGATTTCTTGAAGGGAATTAACTGTTTTTTTAAGGATGCAGTGAGTTCATTTATGCTAATGATCCTTCACTGATGGAGGTCATATAAATACTTCATCCAGATTGGCACATAATACGATGCAGATTAATCATTTTACTGTCTCTGTGGTTCTGTGTTTAGATTTTATGCTGGGAACTACACATTGTCTGCCTTCTCTGTGTTCATACTTTCTACTTCGAACCGTAACAGAAAAACTCTTCTATGTGAAAATTCCTTTTTACAGTTCATGTCTGATACACGAGCTGGAGCAACCATAAATACCCCACAAGGTATTAACGTTACTGCTGTCGAAATTCGTAAGATTTCTCAGCTCCTGCTGGAATCAATGGGAAATATATGTTAATAACAGAAGAATTTGGCCAGGGCTGGAAGGTTCTCAAAATCCAGATGGAATCAGCAAAGTAACAATGTGTCTCTTTTTTTTTTTTTGAACTTAACTTTTTCCTGTGGTTCCCTTTGATTATGGCAGATTATCTTTACTCACACAAAAGCCTTTTTGGTGCAATCTCAATGTCTGGGGTAAGCAGTGGTTCCTTCTCTTTGCAGGATGCAACCAAGCACTAGTATGGATCAGAGTACAACAGCACACATTTCTGTATACTCATCCCTAAGCATCTGCTTATGAAAACTTGGCTCTCATATGGATCCACTGAACTCTGTTGCCTAAAAAACTACATTCACTTATAAAACTTTTCGTGTTGTCTTTCTTTTCCTTTAAAACATATTGAATTTTGATTACCAAACTATTTTATGATTAACAAACTCTGCTATACCTCCTGAGAGATTACTGGCTGTTATTGTGAAGTGTTTTGGACTACAAGATCCTTAACCTTCAAAAGTGCTTAAGTAAATCATGACATGCATCACTTGCCATATGACACTACTCCACACTACCTTATTAATAAGGCTGAGCCATTTTGGAAGGATTCCTGCTAAGGATAAGGGGATATTCAGCCTCCGAAACATTCAATATTCAGAAAGACTCTCAGTCAGAGTGCAAAATAGTACCAAATGTTTTAATAGCCTCAATAGCTTATTTTTCTGAAACACAGAATATTAGGAATGCTCCCTCAAATGTTTTTTGCCTATATTATTTATAAATTTCTGTTGTGTGAGTCTCTATTTGCATCTATTCCAAACTGTCCCTTTAATAGATGCATTCTAAAATGTGCTAACACAGACACTAAAGGGAATACTTCCAGTATGATATTTTTAATATCCTGAGTAAAGAACAATTTTTTTAATACTGGAAATTGAGAGTATGATGTATTCCCTTCTATAATACATAGAGCATCTGCAGTAATAGCATAATATTTGTATCCCATCAACCTATATTGCATAAGGAGAAACTGACTTTTGACAAAAAGTAGCTTTTCTAAAAAATATAATTGTCCAAATCATACCTGACAGGACATGAAGCAAAATGAGCCTGTGCTAATTGATATAAGCTGAGGATATGGCCCATGTTTCCCCACATAGGTTGGTTCCACGCTTCTATAACTTCAAGCTGCTCATTTCTCAGCAAGTGCATCCTTGTGGGGTTCATTCATCACTGTTTTTCCAAGCGCAAGTTATTTGCAATACACAGACTTAAAATTTGTTTAGGATTTTCTGACATGTATCCTCCTAAAACTGGGGGATATTTGGATCCAGGTATTTGGAGTTATCCAACTCTTCACTGGTCTAGAAACAGAGGCTGCTTCTGCCTCTTCACCCACTCACGGCACCACCCTCTCCCTGCAGGAAGAAACGCCTGCATACTCCCTTTGCTCTGCACAAACGTGAGCTGTCAAACCTCCCCTCTCCAGTCAAGTCCTGGAAAAGCAATCAGTGCTCTGGATCACATGCTGTAGTTTCACAGAATCATAGAATGGTTAAGGTTGGAAGGGACCTCAAAGATCATCTAGTTCCAACCCCCCTGCCATGGGCAGGGAAACCCTCCACTACACCAGGTTGCCCAAAGCCTCATTCAACCTGGCCTTGAACACTTCCAGGGATGGAGCATCTACAACTTCTCTGGGCAACCTGTTCCAGTGCCTCACCACCCTCTGAGTGAAAAATTTCTTCCTTAGATCTAATCTAAATCTCCCCTCTTTCAGTTTAAAGCCATTTCCCCTTGTCCTGTCACTACACGCCCTTGGAAAAAGCCCCTCTCAAGCTTTCCTGTAGGCCCCCGTTAAGTACTGGAAAGCTGCTATAAGATCACCCCGGAGCCTTCTCTTCTCCAGGCTGAACAGCCCCAACTCTCTCAGCCTGTCTCCATAGCAGAGGTGCTCCAGCCCTCGGATCATCTTCGTGGCCTCCTCTGGACCTGCTTCGGCAGCTCCATGTCCTTCTTGTGCTGGGGACTCCAGAGCTGAACGCAGTATTCCAGCTTGCAAATTTGCAGCGCGCAGACTCAGACCCTCACACCGCTGCGAGTCGGGCTCTTGACTCCAGCAGCAACAGAAGGTGCTGGCAGCTAAGACTTTTTTAGACACGGCACATTTATCTGAATTTATTTTCCTTCCCAGCTATTTTGCCATGCACAGGACAAGCGAATTAGACCCCCCACTGTGACATGTTCTGCTACTGCTTCTGTGTAAGTCAAAAAAGGCTCTCGCCCCGTGGCTGTTATTTTTAACGCTTTGCACTGGACGAAAGCAGGACCTGCGGCCAGGCTCGCTCCAGCCAGCAGCAGGAACACACGTGCTGTCAGTACTGATTCGGGCCCACCCAAGCAGAAGATGAACAGTTGCAGAGGCCAGGAGGGCTGGGGCTGGCCAGCCTCTGATTTGTGTTTTGGCTCAGTTGCCAGCCGTGCCCGGGCAGCTCCTGGGCAGCTCCCGCGCTGCGCGACGGACGCTGTGTCTAACGTGTCTCTTATTTCAATATGCTTCAACTGGCTGGCCTAAAGAGGCAAACAGGAGAAGGCACAGAGGAGCTTGAAAACTCACTAAGTAGTAGTGCATGAATGATTACTTAAAGGAAGCAAAACACTATCGTGATCTTAACTTTTCTTCTTGAGAATTCAGTTATCTCAGACCAGATGAAACAGATATTTTTTTTAAAAAACTCTTTATGTTCACCTCTGCTGCTACTGGAGGCAAGCTTCCTCTAGAAATTTTGTTGTCAGTTGCTGATCTGTGTTAGAATAATTAATTTTGCCTTAAGGATACAATCTATATGATTTTTTTTCCTCTTTTACAAGGTTTCCACTCACTTTTAAAGGTAAAAATTTCCTCACTTAAGAGTGTGGCTTCAGAAAGAGGGAACTGGCAAGGGTGAAGCTGCTATGGGAGGGCAGGTACCCCTTATGACCTCAAAAAAATAAACTGAGGTTTAACAGTGCTAGTATGAATACTCAGCTGTCAAAATTAGAGCAGTCATGTAAAAACATGACAGAGCAGGAGACCTAAGGAATTTTTACTCACAGTCTGCTTAATTGAGTAGTCATCTTCTCACAAAAGCCAAACTGCCTCAGAGGAAGATGCAAAAGAGTCAAGCAGATGGGAATCACCATCTTATCGAAGCTATTTGTTATATACAGGACTTTTTTTCAGAGTGGGGCACCAAACTGGTATCTCAGAAACTTTCACCTAAGACCTTCCACACAGACCATCTTTCCCACTTTGTGAAGCAACAACAGCTCTCCCTCCACTGATTTATTTTTTTTTTAATGGCTATAGTAAATCCAACAACGTAACTGTGGAAGCAGCTTCCACAGTTGCACTGAACAGGCTGCAGGGCCCACATAGTGGTCTATAGCTTCCCACCCGTGAGGTGAAGTCGTCATGTTCAAACTATCTTAATTCTGAAAACTCAGCCCTCTTCCTCAGTGTTACACAAGGTTTTGTGATACTCTGAAAGAGAATAAGGAAGAATAGCCACAGCTATACCCCCACAAACTGCTGATGGACAGAAGAGCTGTGCAATAACCACTATTCCTTCTTTTTACCCGTTAGTCCTCGTGCTAAGATAAACTGTGACCTCAGGGCCAGGAAGAATCTCATTTACCTGCCCTAGATTGCTGGACAGGATTAGCTGGTTCTGCTGGTGGGAGGACAGCTATGGCTGCTCCTCAGCTCAGCTCCTCTCTGCTGCAAGAGCTCCCTGATCTCTCCTACACCTCCAGTCCATCAGGACATGGCTAGGCTGGAGGAGAACACAGCTTTGGGTCTTGCCAGCTGATCACCTGAGCTCAGCGCAGCTCTAGAGGCACGAAGCAGCCAGGCAAAAACTGCTGCTGGTGGTATGACAAATTCACACTCAGAGCAGGCATCACCCAGCTTTCCTCGCTTTCCTGTACGGTGCTGCCATCTCAGAAACTGTGAAGATATTGTTTTGGAGGCTTTAAAGGTGAAGAAGGGTTGCAAGGAAGTGCTGAATGCAGGTGAATAAGCAACAACAGTTAGGACTGAGGAATCACTGACAGCAGAAAAGCTGGAGGATGGTAGAGACTATAGCCACAACAAAGTAGAAGAGAACATGCCCCCATGAGATTAATTACAAACAACTAAAAGTCTGGACTGTAAGCAGGGAAGCAGGTACTAAGGGTGAACAGGATAGTCCCACACTGGCTAAATGAGCTAAACTGACTGCTGCTAATATTTTTCCTTTTAGCCAAAGACAAAATATGAGTGAAAGGCTTGTAATTTTCATATTTTGCATTTCACATAGAGAACAGCAAGTTCAACAGCTATCAAAACGTGCAATGCTGGTAATGATACGTAATCATTTCTCTTTGACTTTGGGTGCTGCTGAGAGAAACGCTGCAAAGTCACTCCCCACCTGTGACAACAGCAGTAACGTAAGGTGAGACTAGTGAGAAACAAGACAAAAAGTTGCACATTAAGGGTTCAAAGGAGTAAATAACTAAATATGATAGCGGTGAGAAAAAAGATGAGACACAGTAAAAAAAAGTTTCCAAAAGATGACATTTCTTTAAGCTAGCCTAGGTTCACTGTAAATCACTTCTTTCTTTATGGTTTTTTACCTTTGTTCTTAAAAATTACACTTCCCTTAGAAAAAGAAAGCAATAACACTTCTAAATAAATAATCAGGACTTGATGTACCGCCAAGGGTTTCTACTGAAGGCTAGGAAAATGATCAGGGTAATTAAAAATAAACTCAGAATGTGCACGTTTCTTTTCATGTTATAATGTGGTTTCTTCGTGCATGCTTTTTTGGGGTTTAAAAAACTATCAAAGGGAGAGATAATTGGTAGGGCATTAAGCACAGTAATCATAAAGTATTGCTAGACTGAATGGTTTTCTTGTTGTCCTAATAATTATTACATGACTAGTGCTTGCTATTTCGCAGCTCCAAGGAGGGCAGAGGTGATACTGAAGCTTCCCTTCTGAAGCCATGAGCACTTGAGCAGCCTTGGAAATTTTCTTGGGAAAAAGAATAGTCTGCCACCATTAATTTTACAGGTTTCAGCGCAACTAAGTCCTTGTTGGAAGAAAGCAAATGGCAATGTGATTGCTGTATCTGGTCCAGCCTCAAAGGAAAATCTAGGGCTGTCAGTTTTTTGTAATGCACAGATAAAAATCAAATCATTAATCTCATTGTCAGCCAGCTGCCACACATTTACTGAACATAATGAACCCACTAAAAGGGAAGGGCATGTGTTTTGTGCCTCTAAATGTCAAAATACACACTTGGAAATGGAATTTGAAAGAGATTAAAACTAATTTTTCACTACCCTCTGAGTTTACTTTGGTTTACTCCTCCCAATTTACTAAGTCAGGAATATTGTGTTAAATTAAGACTGAGGATTATACTTTCAAATGTAGTTTCTGAAATTATTTAGAAATGCAGGCAAAGAAATCTGTAGATGCAATCTGAGATGATTTGCAGACTTTTACCTACAAGTCAAAGGAAATACAGAAAGTTTCAAGGTAAAATTTCTTTCTCCTAAAATAATCAAGTTTGTCGGGTCATTTATTGTGCAGTTAAAAATTTAGAATGGGTTTGACTAATAATGAATTTCCATATTTAATTCTTTGGCTTCTGTGCTTCTATACATTTAGAACATGGCTCTGTCCTGATCAGTCCTGAAAAAAATCTGTGGTATGGTACTGGCTATAAATTCATGCTGGTAGAGGGGAGAGAAGTACTTTATCTCTTCAGATCAACTTTAAACTGCGCTGTCTCTCCTCCCTGTGGGTCTACATTTCTCACATTTGTACAACAGCTTTACTGTTTTCTTCCAGAAAAGCTGTATAAAGCTGCAGCATTTGGCTTAAGTGGGTCCTAATCCTCACTGACAGAGCAAAGTCCTTACTAAAGGTAAGGGGCCTGCAAAATATCATAATTAAAAATTGCTTTTGCTTTGGACATGTCTGCGCTCTTCCAAAGAGCATAAATTTCTGCATATTGGAATCATAAGTTAAAAGTGGCCACAACGATTTTCATTTCTTTTAATTCGGAGAAACAAAATAGCTGTCAAGTCGAATACTTCTATGACAGGTTTTAGCCCAAAATACATCTTACAGCCAAGATATAAACCTCTGAAAAATGGTGTCTAATGGAAACAATGACAGTTCATTCCCTTTATGAAAGCACTAGAAGGTGCTGAAGAAAGTGCTGTACCAAACATGAAACAGATGAAAGTAACTACCACACGGTCTGTTTAAACTGGGCATCGCCACTGCATGGTTTTGTTTATGTTTCAGCATACTGGCATTCTGAAGAACCTAGTCAGTTAAGGCAAGTGTCTTAAATGACATAAAACCCCTACATTATCCACAACCCACATTTTTAGCAAGCACCGTAGCATTACTACTTTTTTTTTTTTTTTTACATAATGCTAAGACATTCGCAAACTTGACAAGACAAAGTAAACATCAAATCAAATAGAAGAGAACTCCCTGTGCACATCTGCTTGTCAGAAATGTTTATTCTTACCCAAACTAAACTAAAATAGTAAATTTACAATTATTTTCTCACAAGTTAACAGCATCTTAGACTATAAAATCAATGCTTAAAGTTTGATTCCTAAACTCTTAGTTTTTTTCAGAATCTTAAAGCATTGTTGACTTTGCTGTGCAAACAACACAGTTCAGACTCATTAACTCAAATTAACAGGAGCTTTTGGGGGCTCAGCCTTTCTGAAACATGACAGAACTCAAAAATCTCAACTCAGACATCAGAGACCAGTTTTCCACTCCTTGCAGAAAAGAATGGACTGTCGGAAAGCTATGTGCCATGTTAGGACCTTTCTAACCTCTGAATCAAAGCAAATTTCTTGGAGCTCAATGAACTGTCAGATTTAATGTTTAGGGGCAAATTTATTAGCTACAGAGATGTTTCCCATATTCTGCTTCACATACTTGTCTGGCTATCCTTGGTTGTCATAAAAAGTACATCATTCCATCTCCTCCCCAAATAAGGACCTTAATCTGGAATCCTATCTCAGTGGAGAGAAACTTTCCAGGGACTTCACTGGGCTTCAGCCCAGACCTAGTCTGAACAGTGTAACTGCTACTCACCTGTTAATAAAAGTGTATTTGATGTATGTGTGTAGCAGCTAGAACAACAATCAAGGGCTACTCTTGCTTCCCTGAAGACTAAGCTCCATCATCATTTACTGCTGATGCTTTTAGTGTATTTTACGGTATAACTGCAAATATGATACGAATTTCTGCAAGATAAGAAATCAGATATCTCCAACACTGTACCTGTGAGGTAGGTGTTGTGTGAGGAATTGATGAAATAGTGTGACAGTGGTTGAGACATATCTTCATTTAAATCCAGTTTCTCAGGTGGAACAACACCATTTTCTTCTCCACTCAGATATCGCATAAATCCATCCACTGATATCTGTCCTGAGAGAAACACAGATCCAGGGAAAGCACCGATTAATTTCAAGTACAGATTTTGTGACATAGAGATGCTCTGTTCAACATACACTTACACGAAGGCGTGTGTGAAAAGACCATAGATATAATCATCAGACTGGCCTTTATCTAGTTACTCATCTATTCTTTTGTTACTATTACCTCATTTTCGGCCATATACGTTGCAGGTAATAGACATCCCTTTACCTGTACCCTATGAAAGATAAATCATTTCATAATCAGTGTCTACAGATAATCAAGGGCGCAGAGGAATCAGAGTTACAGAGAAAATAAACCGAAGCCTATCAAGGAAAGGGGTCTTCTAGGGACAAAAGAAAGCTTTCCAGGGGAAATCAAGAAACCAGCAGAGCCACACAAAGAAACAGGTAACTTTGAACTCTTTTGAATATGATTCAGTGCGTGTAAATGAATGCAACCAAACTGCAAAGCAAAGCAAACTAAATGAATCACCTTTCAAGTGGGAACTAAGCTTTGCTTTGTAATTTTTATATTTGTCTTCCAATTCATATCTCACTGGAGTGCCAGCATAAATGATCATTTCATATGCTGCTGGCAAATTAGAAAGCTGAGTCCTCTTCTCAGCCTAAATATCAACATGGATCTCAGTGGAGCTGTGCTTATTACATCAAGATGAATTTCTCTGTCAAGTCTTCTGCATAAAGTTGATTTTAGGGTGTCGATTTGTACATTTAAACTAAAAAAAATATAAAAATCCAGTAATCTATATTTGAAAATTAATGCTTAATTGAACACATTTGAGACATTTTTCTTTGCCTGGTGTTTCTGTTATATTGTCTAGATTTCATCTGTAGATTTACTCAACCATATAGCTTTTGTTAATTCAGTTACTGCCTATAGCAAAACAGATCTCCTACATCTCTGAAGAGTCTCAAAGCAGCTACGTGCCTGGTGAGTCCCAATAATGAGAATTTCTTATCTCTTGTCCCTAGCCCAAAATATTCTGCATAATATCTCTATAGAAAAAAAACTTAGTCAAATATGGCATTGAAAAATGGAAGACTTCAGCTCTACTCCTAACTGCTACTCTCTCCTTTTAGGGCCAATCCCTTTTTACCCTAAAACGTATAAGCTTACACATATTTTTCTAGCATATGAAAAAGTAATCGGCAATCCACTGGCAGGGGGGTTGGAACTAGGTGATCTTTAAGGTCCCTTCCAACCCAAACCGTTCTATGATTCCATGAATCCTGCATCGTTTTTGTAAAGCTTGTAACCACATGATGCAAATATGGCATGTAAAGCATTTACATAAAATCTGTGCTTGGACTCCAGGACTTGGCTCTTGATCAGAGAGGAAAAGATGCAACAGTCTTAAGTTCAGATGCCTCATTTTCATAACAACACAGGACGGCGGTGCCAAATGAACCTATTCATATATGACAAGCAATGTAGTGACAACACAGAGCAATGCAATTATCAGTCATTCTTATGACAACAATTGTAAGATGGTTGGAAGGAAAAGCATCAAGTCCATCCACTATTTTAAGACTGGAATCTGAGTGCAATCTTGTCAGGCTCCACAGCTGCTTTGTTATAGAGTAATTAATCATCCACAGACTGAGGCCTATATACTTTTCACAAGACCAAAAAAATACGATGCAGAAAAGCAGGAAAAAAATCCACCACTGAGGTTTTTCGTGAAACTAAAGACTTAAAACTATCTGCTGCACAAATCTACCAGAGAGACAGTATGCATGTAAACAGTAGTATCGGGCGCTATCATGGAGTTGGCTTGAGCTAAAATCCATTTAAGAGAAACTGCACCAAGTTCACTGGGATATAGATACGGTCTGTGGTGTACCTTCACAGCACACAAGCAACATCGTAGAGGAAAAACGGGTAAGATCTGAATGGGATAGCTACTCTACAGGGAACCTGCCAAGTACAGTGATTTGCAACTTCTGATGTTTGAGATAGCTCATCCAGAGTCATCTTCAGCACCTCCGTGTTGTTTTGAACGTGCTCCTTTCAGCCAGA